TAAAGCACAAATGAACGACACACTCTTCCAGTTATATTTTATTACTTAGCACTCTCTAAGCTGCTTCAGGAATTTTCCTTGGATTTATTAACTTTATTGTTGGTGTAGTGAAACCAGGCGGAGTGCAGAACGAATGCATTGTAAAGGATTAGTCCTTGCTTTGACAGTAAAAACATTAACTGTCTTATTTTCTTAACTATTTTTGATAACCCCACCGGGTCACCTAATAGGCTTATACAGCAATGTCTGTTAACCGGTATAAAATTATGGCTAATTGCGTTATCTCACTCAAAATGATGTTTATAACACAACCTCTCTTTTTTCTCTAACTAGTGTAGTAACAATACTTCACATATGCCAACGCAGCGACACTATAAGTGTGTGTGTGTGTGTGTGTGTGTGTGTGTGTAATTAATTGGTACTGTTTTGTACTTGAGATAAACGCATGGTACGGTACGGGCTAATGAATCAGAAGGAAACGGGTACCCCATGGAGAAGTCCAAGTGCTTGTACGAACTGCTCACCAAGCTGCCACACACACAATGGGGTAGCAAAGAATGAAATTACCTCCAGGGAAGAGTACTGTGGATGGAAGCGACAGAGTGCAAATAAGTGGTGTCATAAAACGTACAACTCCTTATGCCATATGAATGTTGGTTACCTCATCAGACTGCTTGGATTCCTGTGCGCGAACACCTACCCTTCCCGTTTCCAAATCACCCCTTGTTCACGGGATCTTCATGACAGCGTTGACGGTTTGCCTGGCCTGTCTGGCATGAACACACAAAGCCACATGCAGTGCGGTGCCACTTAGGTGATAATTGCAAGATCATGTCTGTTCTCCTTCTTCCCTTTTGTAACATGGGATTTTATTTTTGAGGCATTTATCATTTTTACGCATCTGTATGACTGAGTCCCCGAGTAGCTCACACGGTTTTGAGTGGTCTACTGAAATTTCTTCACAATACTTGAAAGAACCTTTAATCGGTTATAGTCTAACTTGATCATCTCCTGTTTGACGCACTCTATTTGGTTACACTTAACCAGTCATACAACAGATGTCGCTATCTACTAACTACATTCAATTCACGGACATACGCAAACCATATAATTCGAGGTGGTTGCAGTGTGCAGTCTAGTCGATGTAAATGTCGCATTTGTGGACCACTTCCGGCACTGTGTTCCCTATTGGATACAGAAAATGCACTGGAACAATGAGCAACCTTATACAGGTTGAGAAGCACTGCTTTAAAAGCTTCGTTAACGGTCTAATGGGTCTTAGAGAAAATAAGTATCTTTACCATTACTTTGGTTTACCATTTCAAGAAGAACTTATTGTTTGTAGTGCTGTAGCCCTGCAGTACGCGTAGTTTGATAGATCCAATAGGTGAAAACTAATAAATCCACTGTATTTCACGGGAGTAGAACGGGGAGATAGTGCGGAGTGCAAATATTGTGTCGCCACCGTCTGTTCACGCCCCTACGACGGCAAGAAGAACACGAAGATGAGCCAACACCGCTGATTGCGGGAGAACACTGCTTCCTTGTATGATGTACGTTTATGAAGCGAAGCTACTAAAACACGTTGGAGCCAACCAAAATTATTGGAAACAACGAATACTACGAGTGAAAGAGAAGTAGTAAAAGAACGCACCTGATTGGTGCGTTCGAGGAAACAGCATTAGCAGAAATAGTCCCCTGAGGTAACATCCATTATAAAGGACTTGGGCCGGCCAATCGAAGCAAAGGAATGATGTATTTGAACATTTGACAAGAAACAAGCGATGGCGAAACGAAAGCAGGCGACTAAGAACTGTAGCAAAAAGTATGTGTCCCTTGAGCTTCTTATTAAAAATATGTAAGTAGTTGAACGCGTTATCCACCCAACTTCTAGATATAGCTAAGGTAGGCGCAAAAATGACCGATTCTCGAAATGTGTTTCACTATTGACACACTCAAGTAGAAAAGAAGTTTCTATTGCACATCAGGCAGCTATACTTCACTGTTTATTTGTCGATCCAATTCAAATGCACTGAGGTGTTCCACAGTGGTCAGTGTTCGGGCCGTGGTTATCCTTGTTCTTCAATAACGACCTTGCGATTATCATCAAATTAAAGTTCCTGCTATTTGCTGATAACATCAAGAAATGGCGGACAATCGGCTGTCAGAAGATCACCATATGCTGCAACGAGGCTTTCACCACGCCTTTGAATAGTCAAAACCAAAACTAATTCTGTTTAACAAGGACAAGTGCAAAACCTTGCAGGTCTGCCACAAGCACAAGTACCCATATAAGCTTGGAGACGACATGCCGACAAACGTCTCACAAGAGCAACATTTTTGGGGGATGATACAAGAGGACCCCGGCTGTTCGGGCGGTCCGATCTCACCGTCTTTCCCCAAATGCTCAATGCGTATGTGAGGCCCCATGTAGAGTACTCTGTCCAAGCTTAGCAACCTTGGTTAAAACGCGATCTGGTTGCACTGAAGACCACCAAGCGAGGGGCAAGGAAAATTCAATGCATAGGCGACTCAGAGTCCTGTGAGTGAACAGCGGAAGAGATCGCCGTCTGCGTGATGAACTCATTCTGATGTTCCAGATCTTGAAGAACCCCGGTCACGCCTACCGCCACCAACTGAAGCTTTACCGTACTACAGAAATGTGGTTTCATAAGTTAAAAATTTCCACCCAATACAGCCGGCTGGAGTGACGCCGGAATTATTTCTCTCTTCGTGGTCCTCAACCGTGGAGCGTTCTTTCGACCTTTTTCATTTCCGCGCCCACGCCACCCATCTTTAAAAAACGACTCGACGATGGTTTGCACCACCTACATTACTTAATCTGATTTCTACTCATTGAGTGACGACGTGACTCAGGCAAACATTGTGCTCATCAACCCGACGAAATCGGGCTAGACGGATATACCACTGTGTTGATGTGGACAACATAGTGCGTCCACAGATGCGTTTTCTTCAATTTTTTAAAAGTTTTTGAACTCATTTTATTCGCACAAACCATCCCATGGGACTTGTCAAGCCTTTCTTTTCATCCGCATTCTTCCGTTGTTCCATTGTTCCATCGCTAGTTTCATGGAGTGACCTCTCGAATTTGTTTTAGTGCTGAATTACAGTAAAGAGCGACACACATGATTTGAATCGTGCAGCATCAAATAGACCATCATCGGGTCGCTTCGTATTCGGCGAAACCATCTGCTATACACTCCCAAATGTTTCAGCTTGTGCTCAGACTGGAGATCGCGCATTCCTATACCTTATTTGGAAGCCTGACATTGAGGCTATCGTAACTCAGGGAGCTCGTGTTTTAGTCTTGGATGCCAAGCTTGAAGTGCGTGCTCAACAAAGATGTAGGAATAATCTCAACAGCAGACATTTGTCTTGTATCTCATTAATAAATTACTACCGTAGAGAAGGACTTCGCACTTCAAGACCTCTATCCCAACTTACCATTTCTCCAACCCGGATATTTCAGTTTACCTACAGCCTCACTAACCCTTGACAAACAGGCAAATTTTGCACGCTTTACGCTGACCTTTTAGATATGTCTCCAAGGTAGCAAAAGCTTTATTTGTTTCACAGTACTTTCTCATCAGTCCAGATATGCGGATAGAAATTAACTGAATGTGGGGCATGTGCGTGGTGCAGCGAAATCCATCCACCTTCTCATTGTGGATGCAACCATCCTGAGGCTGTCTGTGGCCACAGAGTTGGATTTCACCAATCGAAATGATATTCTTTGCAATTGCATGACACCAACCCAGTATGGGATTGGCTCGGTGAGCAACCATATAGAGGGCGTTAGCTTTCGAAAAGATCCCGTCCGCTTGAAATTGTACGCAATCTTAGCTGAGTTCGAACTTTGGTATTGCCAGCGTCAAAGCCAAGCGTTGTAACCCTTGCAAACAGGAATATGCGAATGGTTGCTGTAAGCACTGCACGGGCGTTTGAGACGGACTGCCACCTCACCTACGCCTAATTCACAAAAGCATAACACAGCGAGCTACAAAGTACAACCTGTAGCGAATAAGACTGACATGAAGATTTGCTACCCATTTACTTATTTACCCACCCGCAACTAATTATAAGAGCGAAATTTGCTAGCTCAGGTTGTTCTGGTGGCCTGGCAAGTTTGTTGCAACAAATTTGCTATGCTCAGCGTACAGTTTGACTGCCACCACAACTAATTATACTTAACAAGGTATCCTGGTGTACCCACGGCCGGTCACAGTGTCTCATGCTTAACCATGATGAACCATGGCGAAAAAAATTGGCTGTACATTATTACTTAACCAATCCAACGCTGCGAGAAAGTTATGTCTCTTGATGCGACGTGGATGCCATGTGGCCACGATTGTCATGTGGTCCCAAAGTACACAACCACCCTTAATTCACCCGCTTGCTTTTACCTGACGTCTGGCAAATAGAGCGAGTTAGCCGAGGAATCAGCTGATTAATCTACTGCAGCCGAACCTTCACAGGAATTAAGATACCAGAATGGACCTTTGATCGAGACCAAAACATGTGTTGATAAAACGCACGGTTTGTCGCTGAAAAGTCACTCACATTTCTAAGACAATTTTCGTGTATATCAAACTTGCTTCTCTGACTCCAGGTCGCCATTTTGAATATCTTCGCTTATTCAACCATCGTAGACACCCACACACCATCATTACTAGTTACTAGCTGATAAATACTCATCTGCTGTCGTCAATGCGCTCTGATTAATATGTGACTCATGGATGGAAAATTCTGTACTCAGTTGATCGTGCTTACTCAGGCGTGCTTCGTTCAAATCGAGCACAAAAGTTTAAATCATTTCAAAAGCGAGATTTAAACCTCCAAAGGTGTGGACATTCAGTTGTCCCGTCATTTGTTTCTTAGTATTTGCCTTATTTACTAATTAAGTTGATGCACGTTTTATGCGAACTCCCATTCTTGTCTGATCAGTATATGACTCTTTTTACAATTTCCCTTGTTCATAGACCAGCAAATAAAGCACCTAAATTTTTGGAAAAGCCAGTTATCCGCATGGATAAGGCGAAAGGAGAAGTCGTCATGTCTTGCAAAATGGAAGCGAAGCCCAAAGCAACGTTGACATGGTATTTGAATGATGTGCAGGTGGAAGAAATACCGGGAAAACGATTTTGGGTTGTACAAGAACAGTCGGATGATATTTATCTGTTAGAAATACACATTGCTTCACCCAAACCAGAAGATGGTGGGACATACCGTATTAACGCGAAGAATTCTGCTGGTGAAAGCAATGCCAATATAAACCTGAACTTACAGGGTAAGTAGCTGAGAATTTGTTTTTTATCATGGTGTTTTCTCTACACACCCTTTATGAAGGTCGGCTCACGGTATTGTTGTTACCTGAAGTTATAGACAATTCCGAAGTCCTATACACACGTACCGTTTTGAATCGCGCGCTACTGGGCTGGCCACTATTCCTGCACTGCAACAAAGTGGCCAACTACCCAGCCTCAGCTCGAATAAGTAGGCACGGTTTCAGCTTAAAGGTGAAAATCGTCTGGAGCGAAAAGCCCAACTTAGTGCTTGATAAGTTCCTCTCACACCTTTGGATTTAACTCATAACTATCGAACGATCGTGCATAGCCTCGATGCTAGGCTGCGCATGAAATAGGTTGTTCTGTGGTCAATTACAGCCAACAGATGTCCCATCCTGTAAGCACGTCCACTCCCTAACCGTTTCTCTGGTGCTACATGAGAAACCCGCTGATTTGGCATCTGAAACTTCAGGGTCGAGAAATAACCTACGGCTCAGATTTATGTTAAACTTGGCCAAATCTACTTAGACTCTAAACAAGAGCGAAACAAGAGTCGAAAACTAGTGACAACGAAAATTTTACCATCCACATATGAGTTGCAGGGACAAACCATACTTTCTTGATTAAAACTATTTCAAAACCTTGTTACCGTCACTTATACCTTTTCTCGCACATGCAGAATTTTATGAATGCTGACTCTGGGTCGTATCGCCTTGTCGCCAAGAATCCCCATGGTGATGCCGCATCTAACGTGGAAGTAAAAATGTGAGTGCCGGTGGACCACTCGACTCTTGTTTTACATCTAGGTCACGGGGAGTTGCACTTTGCCTGACGTTCTACCGTCCATTATGGGGTTATGTATTTATTCAAGTTGACTAAGCGACGCATTCAGGCCAATTTCCTACTCTGATCTCTTGGAAGAACATACGCTACCCAATACGGTTACGAGGCCTAGGGCAAAATCCAAAGCTGTTCATCAGTCTTCTGCACAAGAGTACACTTTTCCAGTTGATGATGTGAAATGCGCTTGAAAATGCAAACTCTAAGGTAAACAGGAGGTCTAAGACTCACGCAACCACACATTTACGGTATCGATACACTAGAGCCGAGATTATGGAATCGCTAGCTGTTGCCAAAGTCAACACACCGGAGTACAGCTTTCGTAGGTCGATAAATTCTTAGCAGTATTTAATGGGGTCACATCTTTGGGATGTTCCCCAGATATGTGAGGAAGGTAAGAACAAGGTTCCTATAGCATACGGTCAACTTTTCCGTAGTATCCTGTCAATTAGAAGCTTAGCTAGTTCGGTGGTTGAAAATGTAAAACTAACAAAGAACGAGTGTGTCAGCATGAAGTTCACATGTGCGCACAATACGGTTACGTTATTCTGTGCCTAACAGCTTGGGCTAAACTATGTAATACGAGTGAACTAGTACATAATTGGGTAGTTTTAATTCAAATAACGTGGGAGGGAAAATACCAATGTTCGGAAGAGCGTGTCCGAATTCTGCTTGGTGCTTAACTCCACTCCTGCGGTACCTATCTTAAACGCTCATAATTTGTTAATGGATTGACTACATCACTGGTAGAATGGACGCCCAGTTGTAAACACTTCGCCTGTCAATCGCTTCTATAGTTCTTCATACTGGTGTAACGTTCTCTCCTGACACAAAGTGCTCAGTTTCTGCTTAGAACCTCAAACACATATTTGCCATTTCTGCAGTCTAAATGCTCGCTAAGTATAAGTCTAAGCGATATCGGTTTGCAAGTTCGACACCATACTACTTCACACCACTCCGTTACCCATGTGCCTTGAATCCTCTATGTGCAGTTATGCCATTTCCTTACTTTTACTGAGAATTCATCACCATAGCTTACGAATCAGATGGTCTACACACGTTTCGTCCAAATGGGACTCTTCCACTAGGAATCGAGCTTTCGTCCTGTTGAGTTTAGAGTCATATGCTACTAGGTAGCGGTTTACGCCAATTATTCTTTGTGTATATTTTAACATTGACGTTAACTCTATTTACGGATAGAGTTTCCTTTGGTAGATATCTTCCCATACTACCTGCCACTTGCTTTTATGCGCTAGAGGGAATAGGATGATTATTCCGTTTACCTGACTAACGGAAATCGCTTTAGCATCAGTTACATATTTGCTATTATCCTTCCACATCTTTTTGATTTGGCAGCCGGAAATGAAGACACTGACAACCAAACTGGGTGCCGTCAGTCCGTCTCGCCTTCCGGGCTCGAGTCTACTTGACTCACCGTGTTTGGCTCGAGACGCTACAGGACATGACTCACAACGAACACCAGTGGCGTGTCTGCTGCGGTCTCCTAATCTGATTGCTTGTTTAATGTGTGTTTAGTGCTGAGTTATCTGCAGGGTAATGGCTGATTATGACGCGTGGCAGTGAAAGCCGCAAGGAATCTGTCTCACCGATGCCGCTTTATCTTTGCACGATAACCAGCTGTTTGCGACGATATGTTATCTACACAAGGTGTAGGCGCCTTGACTCTGAACGTTTGCTTAGGACATTAAGGTTTTCCGATAAGTCCCCCTTCTCTTCCGCTTATTATTCCTTATTCCTTAGGTCATCATGGTTGTACAGCAGCGAAGCATGACTTCAAGTGGCTGATGTACTGCTGTTGTTGATGATTGTTGTCCACATCTTTTACTACTATTCGCTTTACATTGTTCGTTTCACACTACATTAACGATCTTTCTTTGCTTCCTCTTGATGACCTCTTTGCTGAAAGTTTACTTTGAAGTTCCACTTGAATGGTTATCCTCTCCGTCTGATGCCATTTCGGAAGAAATAAAATCAAGTTTGACAATCTTTGGAAAAGCGGTTCATTTTACAACTAATCTACATGCAACCCACCCGAACTAAGCGAGTATTTTGTTGACGAGAAGTAACATTTGTTTCTTTATGTCAACTCACATACCCACATACAACTTGACGATTTCCATCTTCTAGGCCACGTATTGTGGGCATGCCAAACGTACGTTTCGAGAACAACAACCAACAAGCAGTGCTTGAGGTGAAGGTCGACTCAGGCAGTTTGCCTACCTCTGTGTGGTCCACAGGCGGGAAAACAATTACTATGGGTGGCCGCTACAGCACCAATGCACAACTGGAGACAGGCGGTTATCGAGTCTGCCTGATCATTAGTGACGTAAGTTGGCTCTTCCCGAATAACCTTGTGTTGTGAATCGCAAAACAATGTTAACTGGTGTTATTGCCTTTGAACTGCACATTGTACGCATTAAGGCATGCAATCTCAATCTATCTAGGCGGAGTAAAGCAAGATATTTCGGCATCTCTCCGAACCTCCGCTTTCCCTACCTGATGAGAGCAAAATAAGTTCGAAACCGGTAGAGAAGTGCTGCGTCTTCGGCCGGGCGACACCCCATTTCCATCTGCTTTATCATTTACTGTTCTAGTGTTCGAAATGACCAAGGTTCACTTCATTACGAACTACGGTCCACATTGAGATTACGTATCGCAATCCAATCAAATAGTGCGTACTTTCAAATGGTCTCCCGATCAGACGGAGAGTTACTGCTAAGTGAACTGTGGTCTCGATTGAGTTTATGGGTCTCAAAACACTCACACAACCAGTGTTACTGTGTAACCCACAAAGAATCATTTGCCGTCGAGATAACCGCTACCAATGTCTCGGTAGTGTAGCGATTCATTCTCCCGACCTTATGCTCTGCTCCCTGGGTTCGAATAGCAGTTGTACCCTTTCTACCCACCGAGCGCTCAAAGGTACGGGACCGGTTTTGAATTGCATTTCTGTCATCTAGCAACGTTTACCATTTAATTTTGTGAGTTGTTTTGAGAATGCGCAGAGATTTGCTATATCTTCTTATAAAGATCGGCTTTGCAACTTCTCGGTGGCATTTCATCTAATTTCTATGTCACTCATATGATTCAGATTTACCATGACAACGCCATGGCGTACGCTTGACACACCGGTGACCAAATATCAAATAGGTTTACATACTGTGCTTCCTAAGTAAAACACAAGATGGTATACATTTCTCCTGACGTCAACCAGTTGCCTGAGGCTAAGTGGCTAGCACGACAATGACCCATAATAAGTTGTGTGGTCCTTCCACGACTGTTACTATCACCAAATTAAGGGTATCGGCAGATATACGATAGCTACAGCCCAGTCCTTGAAGACAAGGTTTGGTTTGAGATTGAAATGGCTATTTTCTTGCAAGATTGGTCATTTGATGAAGAACTCGGATGAGCATGATTGACTGAGCCCATTTCTGATGCTCACTAAGTGCCCACCCGTCCAGTGCTTTCATCTACGTTTTGGGTCAAAAGGAGACCACCAGTCTCATTGGCGGATGCAAGGAGCTTAGTCCTCGTGACCGTATCTCTGCTTTTTGCTCATAAAATACACGTATTCCTAGCAGTGCTTGTTGCGGCTTCAGCCACTTGCCGTATTGTTGGATCTGAATTGGTTATCACACTAATGCCTTATGAGGCCGTTCCGAAACCATCGTGATCTCCATCGATAAGCCTCCCGATTTTATTTTCTCAGGGTTACACTAGACAAGTTGGGTGTGTGAAGGAACTTGGAATCGTAAAGCATTAATCAGTACTTCATCATGAGCACATGAAGATATCTTATAGTTGATAAGCGTTAGATTTTGCCTGCTCGCAAAGTCGCACTTCACAACATTCGTCAAGTAGATATAGCAGTCGATTATAAGCTACTTCGACAACAAATATCGGCAGTGACTAAATTGCTTAGTTCAATTCTCATCCATCTCTTTACTTATGGGCTAGAATCCTAGATTATAGAAGAGCAGGTGGTTTCCGTAACGGACTGGGTTGCACATACCATGTTCTCGCTCTAGGGGAGCTTCCAAAGCGTCGTCGTGGAAACCGAAGGTAAACTATGACTGACTTCATGGGATTCGACTACAATCAATTCAAACCTTCCAATGAAACGTAAGCTTTTACATGCCCTACACCCAAAGACCGTAGGTTGCATTAGGGTCTGAAGATAATTGTCTGATCTCATCTGATACCCGTCATGAAGGCACCACAACCCCGGTTTTGTTCGATTTCATTATTAAGCTTATTGGACATTGGTATGATGTCTCCGGTGGAAACTAGTTAGCCTAAATTGTATGGGCAGTATTAATTCGTTGGCTGAGAATAATGAGGCGACGCAACGATCTCAGCATAAACCACGGTGTGATCTCATCCTTCGGCATACACTTCAGGCTCTCCCAGTGTACTGTACCGCTACGGGAACACCAGCCAGTTGATAATACCTACCTCGAGTGCTGAAGGGAAGGAGCTTCAGCAGCAGAAGTGGACTCTTCATTGTTGATATCAGTTCACGTATTGCGAAATACCGGAACTGTATTGGTGAATATACGATATGAATGGCACCATAGATGCATTTCTGCTGGCCTTGAGTGTCATGTCTAATGGAGCACGAATCGAGCAGTTCTACTGTAAAGCTGTAAGGCTTAGATGCTTCGATCTGGAGAGTTTGATCTCGTTTAAACTTTGACGGGGACGACATAGGTGGTTAGCCTATGACAGTCGATAACGACGTATCCGCAACGAGGATGCCCGCAAGCGATTGCTAAGTGACGACATCGGGTCTGGTTGAACATATTGTGCTGATTAGGGTACAGGTTGCGCATGCTCCTGCCCCTAGCCACAACGAGGAAGACCTTGTATGGTTCGAATGAGACAGTCGTTTATCTGGCATTAAGAAATGAAACCACTGTGGACCAAACCCGGTGGTTTTGTTGGTCTATTTAGACGTCGCGGCATGTGTCCACCTGATCCACCCTGTATCCGACTCGTGACCTTACATGGCAATTATTGCGGTTGACACTGGTGGCACACACGCGGCAACATCCCAATTCGATTTTCGGTCTATCTGGTGTTGGATTATCTTTAGAGTAAGGCTATCATACGAGACAATGTAAACTTTAAGGAATCTACCTTGTCTATGCTGTCTGACTTTCGCAAGATAGCTGGCTGTTGTGACCTCGTTTATTTGGTGCGAAGTAGGCGTCTTTATTCCGACTGTTTGCTTATGGCATATAGACCCTACTCTTCCCATCTCAATACTTCTCACTAGCCTGGACATCATGGTTGTATGGTGGCAAGTTGCAGTCAAATTTCTAATGTACTACGGTCGATGATGAGACTAAGAGATCCTACAAATACCAAAACCAACCACAATTAACATGTGTTAATTACGCATCGCAACTTTTTCCCTCGTTTAACCTTAAACCTTCTCATAACCATAGAATGTTCTGTTCTAAAAATTCCACTTCAATACAGAGTTATTGCGTTGCTTGGAAGAGTAGCAGGTAAGGTTAGTAACTCTTAACCAAAGCAATGTTAGTCTTGTCAGTGATCTCTGTTATGCATGTAGATAAGTTTTGAGTCGAGTGCAACTTTTAATGAAATTTGAAACAACTTGGATTCAGACAGAGAAAACATAACGTCTCGAGTTGCACCGAACAATAAAAGAGCTATTTATTTTCAGATAGTAGTTCATCGACATACTTTTTCAATTGAATCTAAGCGGTTCACTAAATTGGTGATCTTTTTTGTTTTTCTTCCAATGCAGCTTGTAGAAAAGGACTCCGGAAATTACGAGTGTGAAATTTCCAATGGCGTGGGGACCGTGCAGCAGTTGATCAGTCTCAAAGTGCCACGTAAGTGCTCTGAGAGTCATAGCACATATTGTAGGTCATTGTCGGTGCCAAGCACTCAATTGAGCCGATAGCTAGACCATTTAACAGTTCAATATAGTTCAATAGTGTATGATGGGATAACAAGCATAACTTTCCAAGACCCACAGGATGGATTTGCAAAAGAAAATTAAAATCGAAGTGTTCCAACGTGGAATGTGAAGTATCAGTGGTTAAACCATTGCACTTTATCAAACTGTTGTGTAGCGTTTGTCACCAAGATGAAAGTCTAAGAGTCTTTCGAATGTCGTCATGTCTGGTGCGTTCACTACATCTCTTGGTAATGCATTCCAATGAGAACAGATTCTAAGTGAGCAAAAATACTTTCTACTGTTCAGACGGGAGTGTTGTGTCATTAGTTTCAGGTGGTTGCCTCGGCTTTGTTTGTAAGGGGCTAGAGTCAGCAGGGATGTTCATCGACGCTGGCTTTCAATTAGTATCCGGTAAGTGAGAGTAAGTTCTCCGCGAAGCCGTCGGTATTATAATGAGAACACACGGTGTACACGAAGACGTAGTTCGTAACTTAGACCGGCTAGTCCACGTGTTGCCTTTGTGGCTCTTCTTTGGGATTATTTCAATAGGCGAATATCTCGTTTTAACCATGGACACCATATCTGAATTGCATATTCAAGGTGAGGGCGAATATAGGAGTTAATCAGCAATGGTACTAGCCCTCACTCAAAAGTGCGGATAGCTCGCCTCAAAAGTCTCAAGTTCAAGTTCGTCACACTTGCTGTTTTCGAACATTGAAGCGAATCGCCAAGACTCACTTGCACGATTATACCTAAGTCGCGTTCACTAGTCACGTGTTGCAGGACGTGTTGCCCCAAAAGGTGTGTTGACGAAGCTGCTGCGCACCGTCAGCAGGTGGCACCTTGCAGGGTTCAGTGGGAGCTGGTTCCTTTCTGCCCAGTCATTAATCCGTCATATCTTCTAGAAGGTGGACATGGTCGGATGCTGAGCGAATTGCTCTCCATATTTTAGCATCGTCTGCAAATTTTTGCATCGGAGATAGAATGTCTGCTGGGAGGTCATTAATGTAGACTAAAAACAGTAGCGGCTCGAGGACGGATCCTTGTGGTACACCACTGGAGACGCACAGGTTTACACAGTGCGTGTCGGCTACTCTTACCTTGATTGCTCTGTCGTGTGAGTAGTCTTCTAACCAGGTGAGCAGGGAACCGTTGATACCGTAGGCAGCAAGCTTTTGGAAGAGAAAGAAGTGATTGACCTTGTCGAATGCTTTAGAAAAATCCAAGTAAATCACATCTATGGGGACTCCTTCATCAGCCGCCCTGGTCCATGTGTTCCGAGCAATCAACAAATTGGTGAGACAAGATCGTCTGCGTCTGAAACCATGTTGGGCATTAGAAATTATTTGTTGACTTTCAAAGTATCGCGTTAGTTCATCTGCGATTACCGATTCCATCACTTTTGATAAAACAGGAAGGAGTGTAATAGGTCGGTAGTTGGCAGGATCCGATCGCTTACCACCCTTGTACACTGGAGTGATAATTCCAATTTTCCACTCAGATGGGAGTGTATGAGAATTAAGTAGGTCCTGGGAAAAAGGTTACAAGTGGTGCTGCTATGGTGGGAGAAAGGGTTTTCAGTACTTTTGGGCAGATCATGTCGATTCCAGGGGCACTGTACTCCCGGAGAGACTGTAATTTGCTTGCAACAGCTGCTGGAATAAAGGTGACGCTGGATAAGCCAACGACATTTGTTGGGAGTTGATAGGGCAAAGGTTCCATCGTATTTGTAGCTACCGAGTCAAACTTGTCCATATATCGAAGCTGTTCGCTGTGGTAACGACAACAAATAAACGAGTACCGTGAAGAACAAAAGAACACCATAACCACACAAAACATACCATGAGTAGAATTTATACGCCGTTAGCGCACTAACAAGTGCCACTTCCATTGTTATGCCAAGAAGTCAAATCAGGTCAATAAAGTACTTTATGCACCCACGAAGTTAAAATATTCAGCTGGAACACACACGCTTTCAGCCATGCAACAGCAGAAGCACGATGTAAATGCAAACTAAGCAAGTTGGATTAACGAGTGAAAAACACAATAACCCCATATCTAATCTGGTCGGTCAGTTGTGGAACGGCTTAGCTGAGGTTTCGCAAAAATCGCATTATATGAGGGATAGCTGATGAACGGTAGACTCTTGTACTGATATTTATGGACTTGTACTTCTGTATGTTTGATAAGATGGACACACATACCGATAATGCATCATGAAGTGGGTGACTTATCCCGGTAAGCTTCGTGGACCTCAGCCTCTTGCAAGGACTATTATAAGAGGACACATCTATGTCAACAAAAAGTTAACTTTGGGACACTGCCACATCGGAATAAGTTTCAAAGAAATAGAAGAGTAACCTGATGGGTCTACTTAGAAGACCATGCGAAATCACTGGTAAGCAGTTCATCAAGCTTGGAAGTACAGGAGCTGTAACAAAACGAATTACCAACTCATAAGGACAGAGCAGAATCACAAACGAGAAGAGTAGATCAATTATCTCAAGACGCTTGTCAATGTTTCATTCACTCTGTGATCATGATAAGAACGACACATAGCTACTTTAATCATGCGGAAGGGTGCAACCCCTCGAAATGAATGTGGGGTTTAGACCAATGCTTGAGAAGTTACTGATTACGGCCTCCTCCATGCTGAGAACAAAGATAATTCATTTTGGCAGATTGAGCACCAAACCGTAGGATCTTTCGGGTTATCTTGTAAGCTGATTGAAGGGACAGTGGTCGATTGATTGATGCCCAAGACAGTATCACCTGCATACTGCCGAAGAAGGAGTGCTACCGCAGATACTAGCATCGAGTCTACGTAAGTGAAAAATATGAAACCTAATGGAATAGCTCCCTGAAGAAAAGCGATGTTTGTAAGTTGGTGCAAGGAGCTTCTGTCCCTAAGCTGAGTAATCTGAGTGCGTCGGGTGAAATAACCTCTTAACGAGTGGACCCCTCAACAGTCATTCGTGGTTTACCCAAACGAATACGTTATGGTAGTCATCAAAATAGATTCGAGCGAACATGATCCTATTCTTCTGTATTGACCGAATCTAATACACAAGACAGGCAAATGACTTGGGTAGACTTCGAACTGCGACACGCAAAACTGAGCTTATTGTTCGGCTGCGTTTGTTTCAGCATATCAAGAATGCTTTTTTCTAAACTCTTAAGGGCTACCGAAGCATGAGCAATCGGTTGAGATTTGCCACATATAACAGCTTAGGCGAAATCGTTGTCAGAAGTCAGGGAATTCCTGGACACCTATTTTGCGGATTAGAGATTTCTTGGAGCGTACCACATCAGGATTGGATGTTGCAGTACTGAAGTACACTAACAGTGCGCGGTACCAGATGGTGTTAATCCTCCTGTGTGCCCGATATGCGATCGATGGAACCATACGATTGTATATCTCCTAGTCCTCTTGTTTTAATAGTCCGCATTTGCTTTCTTCATTTGTTGATGTTAATGTACTAGTGGTACACCCGCACCAGTCAGCAAATTCGTGTTTATGAATGTGTAATGTGTGTAGAGTAGTCAGAGGTTAGACCAATAAGTCAGCATACTCCTTGTAGTCAACGGAAGACAGCCTATCCCGACAGCTTGTCTTCCCTGCGTGTATCTGTTTTACTAACTTGTGCAGGATCTCCCTGTCTGCAGGGGGCAATGCGTCCGCAGATAATTTAGGCTGAATCAGTGAATGAGTTATGGCAGCACTCACAGTGGCCATGGTTCAATTTCGATATATCTACGTCACAGGCTGATGTAAGCCGAGTAACTCCGGTTGGTTGTTTTGACTTCCCCTTTAGTTCACGACAACTATTTTCCCAAATATTACCCGAACGTACGTGTGGTCCGGACTGCAAAGCTCATCCTTAAGGAGGACAGAGTGATGCTTCACTTAAGTGCTGTCTTTTCTCTTGAAGACTTTCTGCATTTGTCCACGCAGTTGCTTCCTTTGGGGAGAGAAGAACCTGTCCGCAAGGAGGAACAGAGCGTTGCATGGACAACAAATATCGAGACAGAAGTTCAGGAAGCGAGTCAATTGTCATCACCACATGGGTAAACCAGCGACAAAAAGAATATTGAAGTCGGTGGACGCTACCGTTTCCCCTAGTCGGTCAATATTCTATGCTGTACAATACCACCACTTAGACATACGTTCGTTGCAATGAGTAGCTTCCTTGTCGTTTCACTTGCTTTAGACATCCGGGGACGGTTTAATTATTGAGTGATTATAGATGTCAAGCAACAGGTGAGTGCAACCACAGAACCGCTCTACGTTGTTAACAAATATCGTGTCCAGGGTTGCATCAAGCCTTTACGTACCTAAGTAGGGTGAACTTACGTTGTAGCACGCACGCCATCGAAATGAAGAGAAGGGAGTTAAATACACGGAACAGCAGCGAAGCAAAAGTAAGAACAAACTCACTGATTCACTCCGCTCGTTACGTTTATGATGGTGACTTTCGGGTCGAACGCACACCCAGCTAGGTATGGAATCACCCACTAACCTGGGTGAGAGCATACATTGCTCGGTAATTTCATCTGGCCGAGGGTAATATGGTTGGCAGCATCCGGTTTCGGATTTGCATGTCACTGTGGCCAGCCACAGGACGTCTGCGCCTATAGAGGGACCATGGGTGGCTTGCGCTGCACCACCCACAGCTCCAACCACACACCCCATATCCAGTGTAAACCCGAAGGAATAAGACCGAGAGGCATGTGGATGGGAGCCACGTTTCATCAACGGAGTCGGCCCACACCCCTTCACAGGCAAACACAAGCACACTGTATTTGGGGAATCAAGCGCACACAAGGCGGTGGCTGGACCGTAGTCCGCTCCACACTGAGTGCATGGAACCACTCTTTGATCCTAACACGGCCACAAGGACCATGCACCCTGTCCCCTCCAGCAACGACCAA